TTCGTTTCTTCAGGTTGTAAGGTGAACACACCGCATCGAAAAAGTCAAAAGCAAAGCGCACGTGACACGTCTGCACTTTACATTCGGTGCACTACCAACAACGCAAAGCAAAGCTAGATGTCACATACAAATTAACTGCAATATCTTAAGTTCACCTCTTGCAGCCTCTTCTTCCAGCTCGGACCAGTCTTTTCCGCTTTCCTCTTCGCTTCCCATCTCCTCCTCGAATTCTGCAAGAATAAAAATGAGAAACAGTCATCAGCAATTAACTGTAGTGCCAGTGTTGTTCTCTGTAATGAGGAGAAAACCACAGAATTTGTTGTTTATCCACACAAAGATAAAAGAATGGAAATAAAATCATGTCGAATCTTCAGTGTTTCAGCCAGAAAATTTTACTTGAGGGCCAAAGTGGCCCCTGAACATCTTTTTTTGGGGCCAATTTTTTAGGAAAGGAGCCAATAAACTGAAAGCTACAGAGGGAAAAAATGCATCAGGGTACCAAGGAAAATAGAGCAGTTTATTAGGATCTATGATAAAATTTAATAGTAAGTGCTTTTTGAAGTGTTTCTACTCAATTAAGTTTCTTTTGAATCAGATGCTAGTATGAAGGATCCGTGCATTACAAGAGAACAATCCNGTTTTCCAGACACCCGTATTAATGCTAGGCAATCAAACTGCTGATATTTTTATTGAGGAAGGCTTAAATGCCATATGGCATGTCATCCAAACGAATGTGTAACAGGCATTACGGCATGCCTACCACATGTTTGTGCAAACAATTTCCAAGTCAATTTCTTTTCTGCAGAGCCATGTTCAGAAGTTTCAGGCCCCTGGTATGGTAGGATCAGTCAGTGTTGTGGAATTTTGGTTGCTAACTTTGTGTTCATTGCCGAATTGGTACAGGTCAGTACCAGCTGTGCTTATTACACACATACTTTCCTGCATTTCTTGGGTATATTGACTCAATTACCTGTTTGGCAGGTTGAAGTTTGAATGAACTGAATAACCTGTGTGTATTCTCTTTTCAGGGATGTTTGTGTGCAGTTTTTACTCGACAACCTAATCAAAATTGCAGTAAGAGTCGAGGGAAGCCTTTCAATGATACAGACTCACCTCATAGAAGCCTACCGGGTATGTAGAATACGTACATTGTAAACACAAGGTGGAATATATTGAGGAAGAAGTGTTTCATATCACATGTCGAAGAATTTGGTGAAGGTATAAAGATAACAACCCCAGTTGACAAGGTTCTTGAAAAAATATGGTTTTTGTCTACTTACATAGCAAGTATTTTTATACTCAGCAAAACATTCTTGTAATAATTGCTGAGTTTTGTGTAAATTGGTTCAGAAAGTTTTTTCCTTATTGTGTGCTTGTGTCAAGGTGCTACTCAAAGAAACTGGCAGTCAAGGTGTTCTTGCTTCTATTGTCTCTTGGGTGACTTCCAGCAGCAACGCTCCGCCTGTCCTGTGGGATATTAAGGTGAGATAACGTTACACATAAAAGGGATTCAGTGTTTCAGCCAGAAAATTTTACTTGAGGGCCAAAGTGGCCCCTGAACATCTTTTTTTGGGGCCAATTTTTTAGGAAAGGGGCCAATAAACTGAAAGCTACAGAGGGAAAAAATGCATTAGAGTACCAAGGAAAATAAAGCAGTTTATTAGGATCTATGATAAAGTTTTATAGTAAGTGCTTTTTGAAGTGTTTCTACTCAATAAAATTTCTTTTGAATCAGATACTAGCATGGAGGATCCGTGCATTACAAGAGAACAATCCTTAGGCATACATGACGCCGTCAATGATCAAGGGTTTGCAATGCATTATAGGGCGATTTCAAACACGGTCAGCCATTTGGAAGTTTTCCGATGTGAGAAGAATCAATACCGCAAAGCAAAAGGACGGATTGACTTCTTTTCTTATGTTGAATGTTTTAGAAGCAAAGATCTTTCAATATGATTTTCTAGAAGGACATAATGTGTGACA